GTTTTAATTATTGAATATTCAAAAATATTTTTAAAGTTATTAAATATTATTCTAATATTAATTTTTAAAATTATTAAATATTTAAAAATTAGCTAATATTTATTTTTATAAAATTTAATTTAAAAATCTCAACATATAAATATATTTTTAAAATCAATTTTATCATGGTAGAATAAATTATCATATCCAACCCAACAATTTAAAATTTAAGAAATTTGAATTGACTTATCCAAACAAAATATTTTAAGAATGATAGAAATTGAAATCGAAGTAATTCAAATACCAAAAATTTAAAATTCTTTAAATTTGTAAAATTCCTCATCCAAACACACTATTAGAACTACCTAAACTCATGAAAATTCCTTAATTCTCAGAGTTTCTCAACCTTAAACACCGAACATCTCATAATTATTGAAAGAAAACAATAATTAACAAAAACACATAGTGCTACGTCAACAATCAACTAATAATATCAAATGATTAATTAATATAAAATAATAAAATATGCAAAATTTTAAAAATGGACAACATGTGTAAATTGTGAAAATTTTGATTTTAAAAATATAGTCCATTTTAAAAATAAGAATAAAAAAGTCTATTGATGTCATAAATAACAATATAGTTTTAAAATTTCCATATATAAGAACAGTTCCACTTTCATAAAATATTCTAAATCTTATTTAGTAGTTTATTTCTAATTTTTACACTAACTTATTCGACCAGCCAAACTCATTACCCAAGAGTGACTGAATACGTGAATGGAAACCACCTTAAGAAAAAATTAAAATATTGGGGGTAGAAAGATTGTGTCTACAAGTTACGAACTCCAATCAAAATTTCAATCTTTGCTCTATTTTAGAGGAATGTTAATTTAAAATAATTTTAATTTAATTTATAGAATTTTCTGATGGTTGGTAGAATATATAGACATCACTTATTATGGCTAAAACGATAATTCTCGTGTGCTTCTAGAGTGAAGTAAAATATTCGGTATCGCATTCAACTCGTGCTTCCTGAACTCCTGTTGTTAAAGTGAAAAGACTCCACGATCTCATGAATAGATAACATATAAGTTCAAATTTTTTTTTTCCTATAATTTCAATTATTTTATTTTTTATTTTTTATAATTAAAATAAATATTTTTATTTTTTATACTTATCTTTTTCAATCCTTCTTGATGCCTATAATTTAATGTAATTCATTTTAGTCCATACTTACAATTTTGTAATCTTTTTAATTCTTATTGTTACATTTTTTTATAGCATTATATTTTTTATTAACCTGATAGACATTTTTAATTTTATGAGAGTAAAAAATGTGTCCGTAAGAGTACAGAAAAGGTATAAAAAAAAAAATATCAAAAGATCTAATTTAAAGTACTCTAACAAAATAAACTTAATAAGACCTATAAATTTGAATAAATATGTCTGTCACATAAGCACAAAAGAAACAATGTTAAAAAAAAAGTAATAAAAAATTTAAAAAATTGTAAGTATATATAAAAATTAAATAGATTTATCTTAAACATATATAAAGACTAAAAATGATTAAAAAAGATAAGTATAAAGACTTAAAAAATATATTTTAAATTATAGGAACTAAAAGATTAAGTAAGTAAAATTATAAGGATAAAAAAATAATTTAATATAATATATATTAAAAATTTTGATTTTCATTTATGTACTATAAACATAAAATATTTTAAAAATTAACTAATTAATAAGAAATTTATAGTAGGTGTGATTTTTAGAATAATTATTTTAAAAGATAATAATTTTACATATATGCCAGTTTTTATTTGGATGATATTATAAAAACACTTTTATTATCTATACTAGCAGGAAAAAAGCACTACATGCCTCTATAAAAACAAATGGATAATTATTCTTAATAAAGTGAGCAATTTTTTTAAGTTATTTTTTTTAATATAAAATAGGAATATAGATATCTTTGAAAATGTAGATAATCTATCTCCTTTATATATTATTATAAATATAAAAAAGTGATATTATTATAAATATAAAAAAGTGAGAAAACTTATTGAAAGTTTTACCGGTTAAAGTATTTTTTTCGCAATATTTTATAAAAGTTGGCTTGTCTTTGAATTTGTCAAAATATATTAAATAAGATTAAATATATACTCATAATTAAATCAATGATTAAATATATATTATTTAGCATTTTATAAAATATTAAAAATAAGAAAATGATAAAATTTCATAAAAATAATGTGATAATTGAAAATTTAAATTATTATATCACTAGTAAAAAAAATATTTTACATTAGGATTTTACATAGGTTGTTAAAAAACCTCTTTTACATCAATTAGATTGAATTATTAAAATCTTATTTTGATGAACACACTTATTCAAGAAGATTCTTTAACATCATAGATGAAATTTTTCTTGTTAGTCCCTGTCATCTTCAGTTTGACAAATAAAGTATGTGATCAAATTAAACACTATTGAAGTTTGACTAACTACTAAGTGGATATTAATGATATTTGGTTAGAGTATCTTTAACATGTCATTGACTCTCTATTCAATAGTTATGAACTGTCATAATTGGTTCTAAAATGGAAAAATAAAAGAAAAAAACCATATCCAAGAACAAACCAAAAATGCAGAAACGATGATATCTGACAAGAATGTAAAAACTAGTAACAAATAAAAATGCAATAACAAAATAAAAATTATTAAGAGAAAAGAACACAATAAATTCATCATGGAACTCAACCAATTTAGCCTACATCTATATGAGAGAACAGATTCTAGTATCTAAAAATTAGATAAAATCTTTACTGCAATCCCTTAATCTCTAATAAATTTTCTTTCTTTCTCTTTACATATCTCTTCCACAACTCGTGCATGCACATTCTTACTCTTGAATGTTATTGTATAAATTGTTGCACGTGACTTACTAATATATAAATAATAAATCTCATGTATTCCGTAGATGAGTCATAATTGAGCTTTTTTTCACTAGGCAATGACCACCATTTCTCTGATGCGTGTAATTGATATTATTTTTTAATCAAAATTAAAGTTTTACTTTAAAAGTATTTTAATAAAATTTATATATACAAACATATATTACCGAAGTAAAATTATAATCCTTATTAAAGAATATTAAGTGTCTCTAAAAACTTGTACCTCTAACATTTCTCTAAATTTAAGAAACTGTATCTTTAATTTTTTTTTAAATTATTATACCATTTACTGTTCCAATACATTTTTTTAAAAAAAAAAAGTTTATAGGACAGGTAATATCAGGGGATTATAAGCTGAGAGAAATATTTATACAAGAGACGTGAGAGTAAATCTGTATCACTATGAATTGTTAAGATTAAAAAATATTTAATTATCACAAAATTACTTTAAAAGGTCAAATTATTCAACTTTAAAATGTCTTAATCTTTTATAATTTCATTAAGTTTACTTCTCTCACTCTCTTATAATAAAAATTATCTAAAATGCGGCCTTTCTATTATCATTTACGATACAATTATTTATATTTTGAATTTTTTTTTGTATAAACACATTTCGAACATACTTTTCAAAATTAAAACAGATAACTTTATTTTTCATTTTTGTTATTTATAAAACATTAATTTCCATACCGTTAATTTATAACCATTTTATTTTTCTTCATTTCCTGAACCAAATTTATAATGAGCTGAATGAATTTACAATTACTTACTGATCCATGTTCATTGTTTTTTTTTTTTTTTTTTCTCTTCCCTTGTATTTATGTGGTCTTAAACTAGCTGCTAATGCGGTCGTTTTTTCAATGATTGTACTCTAGTAATTTTCTTGATAGCATAATAGTACTTGCCATGTTCTTCTTTGGATGCACAACTTGGCCACACGTTCAATCATCATCATCAGCTTATGACACCAAACACCTATTATTTATTTATTTATTTTCTTTTCTTGTAATAAAACCAGCTTGTACTTGATTATTAAGATTATTCTAATGATTAAAATAGATATGTGAAAAGGATTAGATTATTCTAACGACCAGGTTAGTCCGAACTTAAATCTCAATATATGAGTGTGTGAAAGCAACATTGTTTAAGGTAATAGAAACTTTGCTAGTATAAGATCGACACCTCAACTAAAGTATGATCGCTATTTAACCGATTACCTAGGTGGAACAATCATAAAAGACTAAAATTATGTTTGAGTACACGTTTAAAACTTGTAATTTTAGTTAATTGGTCTTGAACACAATGTCTAAGGGTTTGACAATTTTTTTTTTCTCATTTGATTAAATATAAATAACAAGTAAATCCTCGTTAAATTAAAAGTTAAAAGAGTGTTATTTTTTTAAAGATAATTTAAAAAGTTCAAGTTTAATTTAACTTAATTTTTTTTCCAACTATGATTCAAATACATAGCATCTCCTTATCAACGCACCTAAATCACCATTTCTAGTCGGGATCCTTTGGAAAGGGTATACACGCGGCCTCTAGCTTTGAGACGGCCGGCCGAGTAGACAAGTTCATGTATAATACTCATTCATTTATTTTAATAATTAATAATATATTTAATGACAACTTTTAATTTAATGAGACACATTTATGGCCCCACTCGTCGTAATTCAACCCTATTTATAATTATATGTAGGAAGAAATTAAATTTGCATTGTGAAAGCCACTTTGGTGTTGTAGTGTACTACCAACCACATTCACATAACAATGACGGTAAAAACACTTGCAAGACCAGTAGGTCCACCCTTCCTTGTTAAGATAATGTTGCCAAGGATGTATGCTAGTCGCAAGTAACAAGCATTTGAAGCCACCCAGTAGTCACCATTCATAGAGGGTGCTTCTGGTGAGGGCATATTATAAATGGGATGTTCATTCAGTACTAGCTAATGGTTAATTTAATTATATAGAGAGAGGTTCTACACATGAGAAAATAAGAAAAGAACCTCTCAATATTAATAATAGTAATAATAACTTATATGTACAAAGTTGTAGCATTTAAGCAAAAAGAAAAAGAAGGGAAATAATTAAGTGATAGTTTAAGAAGGGAAAAGCTACACGGGAGTGAGGAGGGTCCAATCCATCACGAGTCTTTTATTTGAGAAAAAGACAAAGGAAGTTACCACTATGTTATTTCACATTCCTAATTAACTAAATCAGCCTTCAGCATTGAGCATTGAGCATTGAGCATTGAGAAGCAAGGCCTTGGATCCAAGTAGAAACAGAAACAAACAAATGAAACAAGATGAAGCCATTACTCCCAGATTCCAACCTCCATGAACCCATCCTCGGTGGCGCAGCCTCTGAACATGCCATTACAGTTGAACCCGTAAGCCACTTCGCCACTTTTGGAAACGGCTATGAGCCCAGCCTTCCCTTCGTCCAGACGGTTCTTGATCACAAAGTCCACGGCCCGTTGGAGGCCCAATCCTTTGTACTCCATCACCGCAGCCACCTCACGCGCCAGGGTGCCGCGTATGATAGCCTCGCCCTCCCCGGTGCACGAAACCCCGCACACGTCGCACGCGTACGTCCCCGCGCCGATCAGCGGCGAGTCTCCGATGCGCCCAGTCATTTTGTTCATCAGCCCCCCGGTGGACGTCGCCGCCGCGCACCGCCCCTCGCGGTCCACCACCACGCACCCCACCGTCTCCGGCGCGTACACGCTTATCGGGAGCCCATTCATCTGCAGTGGACTCTCCACACCTGATCCGCACGTCTCGTACCCATTCGTTGGGATTCGGTAATCAAACTACACGTGGCAAAAGGCGCGTCATTCATCTCCCTTTAGCATAATGCCTTGCTTTACCAACGTAGTAGAAATTAGTAATCAGTTACGTACCAGGATTGTGTTTGCCTCCTTTGCCAGCTTCAGCATGCCAACATTGTCAGGTGTGATAAAGTACTCGTTGTCCACCACCTCCACACCCTACACATTCCAACCGCTATCGTTTAATTGCCGGGGGTTAAAATATTCATACATTTTCACACGTTCACAACCATCGTGTCATGTCATGTGAATTCTCTTAGATCAGATTTCTTTAATTTATTATGGCAGGTGTAGAATAATACTAAAATAATGTCAGATCTTTTTCCTCAAAGAAACCACACTTTGAATGTCATATCTTAATTATTAATATATCCTGTTGTAATTTTTAAAGTTTAACCACAATAGACAGTGTAAAAATATCTTAATTGTTTAATACCCCCTTCCCCCTAAGATTTTATCTTTTCTTTTTCAATTGAGCCATTATGGCATGGGTGAGGGTGGCGAATGAGAAGAGAGGCGAAATCCAAGTTTGTGTGTTGGTTTGGAATAGCGAACGAACCTGTTGCCTAGCGAATTGTTCGGCGCCAGAGAAGGCGAGGTAGGAATGTGGGGATTTGTCCATGACTAAGCGCGCTAGCGAGATGGGGTTCTTAACAGTGGTAAGACCCGAAACGGCGCCGCATCGTCGTTTGGGGCCATCCATGATGCTAGCCTCCATCTCCACCGTTCCTTTCTCGGTCAGGGCAGATCCACGCCCCGAATTGAACAGCGGATCCGTTTCCAACTCCCTCACCTGTCACACCACACATCTCAAATCTAAGTAACAATTAATTAAATTATTATTACTAAAACCAGGCATGCATGGTAACGGGTATGTTAATTTTTGGAGATAAAATTAAAAGGTGTTGGTGTTTCTCATACAATTGTGTTATAAGGTCATGTATATATATTGTGGTACGTTACGTTGTCGTACCACTTTTTCGACGACATCGATGGCAGGAAGGTTAGAACGCAGAGCAGAGATGCCAAGATTGAGACAGCGCGTGAGGAGTTGCTTGGCTTCTTCCTGGCGCTCGAGTGGGAGATTAGGGTCGACACCAGCGCCACCATGCACAGCGATAGCCCAACGCCCCATTATCTCTCTCTCGATATCTCTTCTCTCACTCTCTCTCTGCGTTTCTCGAGTGTGTGTTATGAGGCTGCAATGAGTTAGCGGGATCCAATGTGGTTTTATAGGCAATCGCGGACTCCAAAATTTATAGGCTGGAATGGAATTTTGGATTCCTTAGGAGGGGTTTCAATTTTGGGCTCGCCGCCGGATCTTTAGGGTGGGTAGACAGATTCTGAGATGTGTTACAATTTTAGGTTTCCATGTGTGTCACTGGACGTATAGCGTGAGGTAATTTTTCGCCTTCATTTATTATTGGGAAATCTATTCTTTTATTTGCCTCTCCTATTTTTTTACATTATCATCCATCTAAATATAACTCCCGCTTTATATGTAAATTAGTAATTGCGTAAAAATTACATTTGAGCTGAATTATGAATACTTGGCGCTTTAAAAATATTTGAATAAAAGCACATGAAAATTAAAGTGAATGTACAATAAATTGTAAAATTTTTATTATTTTCATAAATATAATTGTCGATTTAGCTCATTAAATAATGAGTTAATGAAAGTGATAATAATTTTTGTCTTTTTTATATTGAAAAATATTCTTATTTTTTTTAAAGATAGAAAAGATTAAGAAGATGATCGTAATAATGAGGATTAAATATAGGTTTTCATACTTCTAATTACCTCAATCCTCCATTCAACCACTAGATTAACATATCAATTACAAAAATTATATTATAAAAAAATGTTTTCATTTAAAATGAAGATTATGATTTATATATCAATACCAGAAGCATATATTTTTACCCACAAAAAAATTTTATTAGCTAGGTGAGAATATTTAGTTTTTGATTATGATAAAATAAATTAGTTTTAAAAAATTTAACTATAATAAACATAAGATTTATAATTAAATTCATGCTTAAAAATGAAATCTTTAAGATATAAAATACTTATACTTTTCATTTTTTTATCTTAATTTTTAGATTTATTTTGATTATTTATTTTAGTTTATTATTTTTCATGTTTAATTCGATTTTGGACCTTTCAAAAAAGAATCATTTTTATTTTGTAATAAAATTTTAAATTATTTTTCTGACCGATTCAAAATATAAAACTTATAACATTCTATTCATTTATATGAAAATTATGAAATTTAATTGACATTTAAATTCAAAAGAGAGGTACAAACCTAGTAGAAATTGTGTAAAAAAAATAGCTCTCAAACAACTAAAAAATAGTATAAATTATTTTTTTACCGCCTTTTAAATTTATTTTTATGTGTTTTTCATCATGTTTATAGCACTTTTTGGTTTAAAATTCAATTACATTTAAAAGTTTCTATGTGAATCTAATAAGATGATTTTCAAGTTTAGAAGCAATTAAAAAAATTATTCAAAATCATATATCAAAATTTAAAAATAATCATTGATTCAAAGTGACTAAATTAAATCAAATTTAAGAGATAAATGATTAAATAAATATCTAAAAAATAAACATCAAAATAAATTTTAAAAAATTAAATAAAGAAAAAAAATAATTTGACCAAAAGATGCAAGATATTAAAGTAAGTTTTAAATAGGTTATTTTTTCTAAAGATGAAATATAGTTATTTTAATTAAGAATATAATCTATACAAATATATAAAGAGGATATCATTTTCGACAACCACCTTGGTCTCCAATTTTTTTGATCATTATACCTTTTTTATTTTAGAAAATTAAAAAAAAAAATATTTTTTAATCAAATTTAAGAACTTGAAACTAATGAATTTATACTAATACTAATATATAATGAGGATACTACTTTCAATAATTATTTTTGGTTTTCATTTTTATATGAATCATTTTATCCTTTATTTATGAGTAACTTCTCATTTTTTTATAATTTTTTTTTCTTTTAATGCAATGCAGGCACGGAGTGTCTTTTTCCTGCTAATAATAATAATAATAATTTGCAAATAATGAAACTTAAAATTTGTAAAATATTAATAATAATAATAATGATACATCAATAGTTTTGAATTATACATCGTATATTTTTGTTTTATTTTTAAAATAATTAAAAAATTGGTCTAATAGTTCTTAATATCAATGAATGACTACTATTTATTTAAAAAAAAGTCAATGACTATTAATTGAAGTAAATATCTTTAATTTTTTTAAAAAAAATCCTCATTTAAAATAATATTCTATCTTTTTTATAGATCAATACCAGAAGCATATATCTTCATAAAAAAATTGGTATTAGGTGAGAATATTTAGTTTTTGATTATGATAAAAAAAATTAGTTTTAAAAAAATTTAATTGTAATCAATCACACAAAAGATTTATAATTAATAAATTCATGCTTCAAAATGAAATCTTTAATTTTATCCTAATTATCATGTTTACGGAGTATTTAATAAGTGTAAGATATTAATGCATTTGATCTAAAATACTTTTGTGTAGGATAAATTATATTTTTGATTTGTTATCTTAATTTTTAGATTTATTTTGATTATTTATTTAGCTTTTTTTTATCCTTTATGTTTTATTGGATTTGATCTTTTGAAAAAAAAATAATTATTTTTAATTTTACAACATAATTTTAAATTATTTTTTTAATCTATTGAAAATGTGAAACTTGTAACATTATATTTATCTATATGAATTTTGAAATTCAATTAATGTTTGAATTCAAAAACTTACAAACCTAGTAAAAGCTATGTAAAAAAATATATCTCTCAAACAAATAAAAAATAATATAAATTAATTTTTTTTTACCAATTTTTATATATTTTTATCATGTTCACATTGTTTTTTCATTTAAAATTTAATTACATTGAGACGCTTTTACGATGATTTTCAAATTTAGAAGCAGTTAAAACATTATTCAAAATTATATATCAAAGTTTAAAAATAATCATTAATTCAAAATAACCAAATTAATTTAGATTTAAGAAATAAAATATCTAAAAAAAATATTTTAAGAAAAACCTCAAATAATAAAATTGGAACGACCCGCCTGGCCGTCACACAGCAGAACACCACAACACCACACAGAAAGGAGCATGCATATATATAAACAGCTAAAATATATACACAAGGTCTAGCTTGGGGCTTATAATCAATATACAAAATACAGCCAGAATAGCCAAACTAGTGGCCAAAAACAACAAAAGTAACTCCATCTGCCAGCTGCAGACATGCCTCACGCACACCAACCTATCCCTGTTATGCTCCCATACACAATATGATCATTGCAGTCCAAACCACATGGAAACAACAAAGGGTAAGCTAGTGAAAAGAATGAGCATATATAGATATATAAGTACAACAATTATAAACAACTACAGCTTATCAGCACATCATCTAGTTTAGCAATCATCAGCATACAACTCATCACATATACAACTCACATCATTCAGCAAAAATAGCAGTAAACAAACAATGCGTCGTCACGCATATCAACTCAGAGATCTCCTACAACAGCTCAGCCTTACAGCCTACAACAGCTCAACCTTACGGCCTACAATAGCTTAGCTTTACGGCCTACAACAGTTTATATCAGCATGCAGCACAGCATAGCATAGCAGCAATAACAACATACATCATACAACACAACTCAACTATTACATCAATACAGCTTACCATCATAATTCAGCCTGAACAACTCACAGCACAACAAAATCATCAATAACAGCTCAGCTTAGTAAGTATCAACATATATCAGCATTTCTCAGCATATATCAACATATAATAAAGATCACATCCACACCTGGCGCACTCATGGTCGCGCCCGGCATGGCCCAACCAGAGAGTACCAAAGCTCAAACGCACCCAGTACAATTTCAATTGTGCCCGGCATGCTAAGAGGTAGAGACTCCAAGGAGCCTCACACGCCCGGCGTGCCAAACCCGCGCTCGGTGCAGGGAAGGCAGAGACCTCCCCAAGGTCTTACGCCCGACGCAATACCAATTGCGCCCGGCGCCACCTTTAGCAGAGACCCCCAAGGAGTCTCCACGCCCGGCGAGACTAAGTCACGCCCGGCGCAACACCAGAAACCCCAAAAGCTAGTTACTTACTGATATCGCGCCCAGTGCGGTCCAACCACGCCCAGCGTGGGCCATATAGAGGCTCCCATTCTCAAGCTTGCTTGGTGCACACAACCTTGCGTCCGAAGGGCTTACCCAATGGAGCCCTCTGGTGGTCACGTGCCCGGCGCCAAGAACTACGCCCGGCACGATACCAAGCAACAACTCACCAAGTTCGAAAATCTTCATCAAAACCTGTACAAACAACTAGAAATTCCACATGCAACCCTCCCAAAATACCACATTTTCATCAAATCGTTCAAAAACCCCAACTTTACCCACATGCAACCATCACAACATAAAAATCCCTAAATTTTCATCAAATCCCGAAAAACCCGAAAAACACATTCTCCTTCAAAATAGTGAAGATCTTCTCTAGCTCACAGATCTAGTGGTTAGCTACCTCTAGGTTTGCATCACCCTTGAACTGTGGAGGATGGCATTTATGGAACTCAGCTAGATCCCGACTCTCCTGTGACCCCACTGGTCTTGCTGCACCAGCTGCAGCTCTATCAGCATCCATCCTAGTAAAGTAGGCATTCTGCTGTTGCATAGCCATGACCATCATCTCCATAGCACGGGCTATTTGCTAGTTGGTTCTAGTCATTGTCTACAAAAGTAACAGCACCTTCAGTATATAATAACTAAACCAAGCAACAATCATCAGCACAACAATCAATAAAGAAATCAGCACAACAAAACAACGCATCACAGAGCTCAGCACAACAAAAGCATAAAGGAACCACCCCCATGGAATGTCCACTAGACTCGAACTGCTCTGATACCACTAAAGTGTAACGACCCGCCTGGCCGTCACACAGTAGAACACCACAACACCACACAGAAAGGAGCATACATATATATAAGCAGCTAAAATATATACACAAGGTCTAGCCTAGAGCTTATAATCAATATACAAAATACAGCCAGAATAGCCAAACTAGTGGCCAAAAACAACAAAAGTAACTCCATCTGCCAGCTGCAGACATGCCTCACGCACACCAACCTATCCCTGTTCTACTCCCATATATAGTATGATCATTGCAGTCCAAA